GGGGCGACGCAAGTCGCTAAGGCGAGTGTTTTAAGCGGCCGCAAAAAGCTTCCCTCCCCCCCCCGTCCTTCCCTTGCTGTCTCCCTCTTCACTAATTTCTTCTTTTCATTTCTTTTTCACAAAAATCCTACTGGTTTTGAACCAGGGACCTTCTGAACACTAAGCTGATGTCTTACCCCTAGACCACCAGCTCCACTGAAATTTATTTTCTTTTATCTTCCTCTTATGCTACATCTTCGGTTATAAATCCAGAAAATCAATTAACTTACTTTCTAAATCACAAAACTATACTTGGTCTCGAACCTTCCAACTCTGGTTCACTACGCCGGTGTTTTACCAATAGGCCACCAATGGCACGGAAATTTTTGACCTTTAATCTTCCTCTTATGTTACATGTTGCTATTTAATTCCATAAAAATCTCATTGCAAAAATACTTCAGTTTTCGAACCACGAACCTTATATTTACAACGCCGGTGCCTTACCGCTAGACCACCAGACCACTTATGCTGGAGCTGTCTGCGATCGTCCTTATATTGTAGAATTTGGTTTATAGCTGCAGAAAAATCGTATTTATTTATTCACTTTTCAATTTTTATTGACAAAAGACACAGTGGTCTGGAACCCGGTACGTTCCCAATACTACGCCAATGTCTTACCTATGTACCACCGGATCTATACAAATTTGTTACCTTCGCCTTCTTCACATAGTACCACTTACCTCATACAGGGACAAATTTCTTACATTTTTTCTTTCAAAAAGAGTCATGTCTTCCAACCACGTAACTTCTGAACCATACACCAGTGCCTTAACAAAGGCCCACCATGGTTATGGCAAATATTCGCCTTCGTCTTCCACATACCCCACCGCTTCGTTTCTATAATATTCCTCTTCACCTCTTGCTTCGTTTCAAAATCATTTTACGAATGTGGGTTGGCCCGTCACTTTGTCTTAATTTGTATATGGTAATATATGGTTAGTAGTAACTATGCGTGATAGCGGTTGAATATTCGTAAGAATTTACATTTTAGCACATAGAGTGGTAGGGAATATGCTTGAACGTCAATGAATTGTATATAATTGGTTAAGGTTAAAACGAATATGATGTAATATTAACCTTTCACGTTCGATGTGCCCCGTTTGTGCCAGTGATTAGTATAGTCGTCGTGACCAAAGTACACCGTTTTGCCCAGTCGGGCATTTAAACTCCGCTAGTGGAAGCGCGCGCACACATCCCTAGTAGAAGCGCATGGACAGTCATAAATATTTATTTTTATATGTAGTAAGTACCAGACAGACTTGAGTAAAATCCTAATAGAGGAATTAAAATAATACGTAAGTGCACAACGGCAAAAAAGAATATACCTATGAGTTATGCCCAAACTCATCCATGAGGCTGTACTTTTATTGAAGATTCTGCAGATTAATGTGTTAAAAATATGTAGTAAAATTAGATGTACATAACTTTTTTGTTATCTGCTTGATGTAAATATGGTCTGAAATGATACTACAGAATTGGATGTCACTGTGAAAGCACAGAAAACCGATCGCACTCTGTATCTGAGCCACGATACAACTGTCTTGTCACGACCATAGAAATGGCAATAAAACCAAAGGATTTTATTGCTTCCATCTGTTTTATGATAACAGGGTTGCTAAAGTTTTTCAAGTGTTACCAACAGAAATGAATTTATAATGCAGAACAACTCTGTGAAGAATTGGGAAATGATTGTTGCAGTACGTATCAAAATAAAAAAAAATGAAAAAAAGGGTATAATTCTTTGTATAAAAATTTTCAAATCTTTCGTTATTATATGCGACACAATATTCTTTGCTGGTACAAACAAAGTTAATTCCATCCATTTATCATAAAAATTTTGTTAGATAAAGAATTTTTAAACACAATGCTTAAATTTGTTTAAAAGCCCTAACAGGAACGGACATTAAACGCAGAGTAACAACGGGCACTAGCAGCGGGAATTTAAATAAACTCCGGCCAGCTCAAGCTTACTACTATTTCAAAAGTCCGGCGTTTAAAGGTTAAGATATCTTACATGTGATTTAAATGGAGTCAGTCCCATACCGGTAATTAATCAAAAAATAAGAAAAAATTATAGTATTTAACTCTGTTATGATTTGGCCACTTCCAGTATGTATCATTTCTGCCTCCATGTAGTGTAGTGCCTCATAACCAGGGGTGCGCTCATCTCCTTGGAGTGTGGGGGGGCATGAAACATGAAGGTTCATCACTATGTGCCCAAGATTTCAGCACTCTATCAATCCAAAACCAGACTATGTGCCCAAGATTTCAGCACTCTACCAATCCAAAACCAGTTGAATCCAATCAATATTTTCACACCATATTTCTCAGAGATCCATTTCAAAATCAGCATCCCACCTATGCAAAGGTTTCTCAACTGATTTTTTTGTCTTAACGTTTTCAGTCTATGATCTATATATTTCTCACATCCCTTATATGTAAGTGCTACACGTTCTGCCCACCTCACCCTCTTTGATTTGATCACCCAAATAATAATATGAATAATACAATTTATTAAGGGCACATGATACCGTAGTAGGTTGAGGCACTATGCTACAAGCCGTGAGGCTGTGGGTTCGATTCCCAATGGGGTCATTTGATTTTTTAATTCACCTAATCCTCCTGGCCCACACTATGGCTCTGGGGTTGACTCAGCCTCTAATATAAACGAGTATCATGAATCTTGCTGGGAGTAAGGGGCGGCCGGAGCATAAGACTGACAACCTCATCGCCATATGTGGACAAACTGTCTAGAAAATGTGGGAACCTTGAGGTCTCATAGCCGGTTACAGGGATAGCTTCACCTTTTTTCTACACTTTTGTTAAATATCCTTCAATTTCATGGTCAGCAGCTCAACACTCGTACACTTATAGTGTCAAAGTTGTCAGAGGCAATGTAATGCAAGGTATGCATCAGGTCATAAAGACATATGGTGGGAATGGACATAAAACTCCATGAATTCTTGACCTTAGGCGCTAGAGTTGAACAACTTAGTGCTCATTTGTAGGAAGTATGGCTCAAACAGTATAATATCGGTCACACCACAATACTTAATGGTATATGGACAAAGTTGATAATGTTTTCTTGCAATGATATGAAGAAGCTTATACAACATATTTGGCATAATTTATTTAACAACACATTCCTCATACTTTCTCTCTGAATTTCAGGTACATAAGCAGAAAGGTGACGGTGCTTGTCTGGTGATCAAACATAACCTTACTTTGCAGCATGTCCCAAAAATATCATTGTTTTGGTTGATTCTGATCACATCAACTGTCGGTAATTATCCTCTGCCACTCTCGCACGCGAATCAGAGCTTCTTTGGCAGCAATTCCCATCATTCCCTCGTGCGAGGTCTTGGGTTCGAAGCTGAGAATGATACTGGATTCCTCCAAACAGGCAGCCACCTCTTTAAGCCTGGACCGAAGGTCTCGGTAGGAGATAGTGTGAGCCTCAACGCCTCGCGTCGTGAGGATCATCAGTGGGGCATGTAGCTCATACAACAGCATGCCTGCAACAAGTGACACGTTGTTCATGGTTACCTCTCTCATGCTTTGCAAGAGATGTCTCGGTTAAGACGCTGTTATACTGACTTTAACTCTTTTCCTTTTTAATGTGTTCGTAACACAGCGGAGCGCCAAGAAAAATCGCTCCATCTGTCAGACTGTCCGTCTGCAAACATCGAATATCAAAAGAAATGCCTAATTGATTTTCTGGGAATTGATATTTGAACTGATTGTTTCTACTTAAACTGGAAAACACATTACAATTTTGGTAAAAATCGGGCACAAATAACAGAAATTTTGCGTGAAAACTTACTAGCGTTTCTGAGAATGTTTCAAGCTTATGTTAGTTGATGTTAATTGGAGCGAAAAGTTATTCGGAACGGAAGGTGTAGAAAGAATTGTAATACACTTTTCCATAACTCCAGTGCGTCTGAAGAAATTAAGCGAGAATTATTAGGCAGTATTCGTATTCATATTATGAGAGGAGGTGGGTTTCCCCATGCACTTAGACTAGTTATTGGTCCATTGTGCGTCCCCCTTTTAATTTCTACTGTCGCCATACCTTACCGGGAACGGTGCGTGCCATCAGCCCCCGTAGAGCCAACGAGGTCGGCCCCCGGTACCTTGATGCTTCCCCCATCCATCAGAGGCACTGGAGACTACTTGGGCGGGAAAGGGCCTGTAAATTAGCTCAGAGGTCTGCTAGAGACATGAGGTTCTTTTACGTGCCGTAAATCTATGACACGGGACACACGGGGGACTTGTTCCCTGAATTTTTCCGCCCTTAAAAATTCCACGACCTCCGCCGGTTTTGAACCCGCGTACCTTGAGTCATGAGGTGGGAACGTTACCCCTAGACTACGGAGGCCGCTAGGCAGTGCAGTGTAACTTGTATACTTATTCAGAATCAACAAAGCTGTTTCAAAGGTCTTTCAAAGATACATCAGAGGCCTCTTCCTGTCGCTGGTCAAACGAAGCTTCATTCCAACAGGAATTTATACGGTTACATATTCATAAGTATATAAGTAAAGTAAACGTATCCCTGTAATAGGTCGTGGAGACCCAAAGGGTTGTGAGATGTTGAGGTTCTCAGGGGGTAAAGGGCGGCCGGCGCGTAGAGCTGACAACCTTGCCGCCATCAATGAGGCGATTGTCTAGAAAATGTGGGAACCTCAACATTACAACCCTATGGACCTCCGCGGTCTGTTACAGGGATACATAAATATATATTTAATTAAAATATAATTTTACACAAGAGCATACGTGTATTTTTGGGTCATCTGAATAAATGCTTGAAATTCTCGAGCTAATGAGAACAAATGCATCATGATGGATGTTAATGTTCCATTTACAATTCCTTCTGTAGGATGTGCCTGCTAACCATATGCTGCATACTTTACAATCTTCCTTTACGTATCAGAGGAAAAACATGTCCCTTATATCTCAACAATTATAGCTACATTCTCATAGATTTTCGTAAATAAAAATTAAATCACCATGGAAGTGGATAATCATACATTTTCTTTGAGTGAAAATGGTTATAAATCTTCCAAAATGACTTGTATCTTCGTAATTCTTTCATTTCAAGAAATTCGTGGATAAGCTGCGACGTGTCCATAAAGTTATTGTCGAGATTTTATCGAAATTTGGTTCTGCTGGTCGACGTGAAACTCTTTTGGGCGAGTCTAATTTTCGTTCGTTTTGGTACCAGAAAAAAACAACTGGTTTGCCAGGAAATAGTGACATATATAAAGAGGATAAAGCTATCTCTGTAATAGGCGTGGAGGCCCATAGGCTTGTGAGACGTCGATTGCTTCAACACTTTCTAGACAATCGACTCAGAGATGGCGGTGAGGTTGTCAGCTTTACGAGCCGGCTGCCCTTTACCCACAGGAAGATTCCTGGTACTCATTTCTGTTAGAGCCTGAGTCGACCCCAGGGCCACAGTGCGGCTAAAAATCCAATGACCTCTTCGGGATACTAATCGACGACCTTCCGGCTTGTAGCATAGTGCCTCAACCAATTACGCTACCGCGTGCCCCCTAGTGTTGCGTGGCACAAGTTGCTCTTTGGTGGTAAGAAGATGCGGTTACAATTTTCTCCCTTCCAGTCACGTGAATACAATTATGTAGACATTTTCCTCATTTGTGTGAATGCTCACCTCTGAGTCTGGAGTAGCCAGGTTCCAAGACGTCCACAACTTTGAGCAGCTGCCTGCAGATGTCGCGTTTGTGCCGGAGCTGTTCCTCCGTCATGTCGTTGATGAGGAAACCCGGCGTCTTGCCGTACAACTGGCAGAGCGAGTGTTGCACCCCAAGGCAATGGTAATGGTTTGGGTGTAACACATTCTGGTAGCGCCTCAGGAAGGCCTCCAGGGCTGGAATGCTGCTTTCGTCCAGTGCCTCAACCTCGTCACCGATCCTGCGAACACCACAACGATGATTCAAGACGATCTTTATGCAATAAATGCTAAATAACTCTTGTCTAGACCAAGAGAAAGAAATAGAACCACTGAGGAGGTATTACCGACTCCCTCCTTGTGAGCTCAACTTTTACTCAAAGTATTTATTACGTCGGTGGGCAGTGCCATAGCTCAGGAGGTGACTTCCCACAGCGGATCAGGTCATGTCGACCGCCTCTGTGGCCTAGTGGTCAGAGTTCCTGGCTATAGATCCAGAGGTCCCGGGTTCGATTTCCGGCGCTAACAGATTTGTTTTTAAAAGTAGTGGGTATGGAACGTGGTCCACTCAGCCTCGTGAGGATAACTGAGGAGCTGCTTCAAGGAAATAGCGGCCCCGGTATAGAAAGCCGAGATTAACGGCCGTGAGGATCCGTTGCGATGACCACGCGACACCCTCTATCCGTTGAAGTTCGCACTAACTTCGCCGACAAGCGGCGGTCGCTCGGTCGGTATAGTTCGCTTGCGGACTACAGGCCACGGAGGGTTTTTTGATCAGTTCTTGTTGGTTTTGTGCTCGAAAAAGTAGTACTGGGCAGTTTCTTTTCTCCAAGTACTTCGGTTTCGCCTGTAAATTTTCATCTCTCTAACTGCTCCACATTCATTACCCAGCCAATATTACATGTTCTCAGTACTGATAATCATTAATAACTAATTTAAGAAAATATGCCGACCGTCTATTTTCTTTTTCTTAACGAAGGTGGTAGGTTTAGTACTGATAATGCCGCCTGAACTTTTATGCACCTTCCCAAATGTGACGGAATGTCGCGGGATCGATTCCGAGATGAGTTCATTGGGTTTCTCAATTGACTCAATCCTTTCAGCCGCACTATGGCCCCGGGGTATACTCAGACTCTAATAGAAATGAGTACCAGAAATCTTCCTGGGGTTAGAGGGCGGCCGGTGCATAAGGCTGACAACTTCACCGTCATCTGCGAGCCGAATGTCTAGAAAATGTGGGAGCCTCAACGTCTGACAATCCTATAGGCCTCCACGGCCTATGAAAAGGATAGATTTAACTTTTTAAAGGAATGTTTAAGTACACCGAGCAGGCTAAGGGCTCGATTCCAAAAGGGACGAGAGATTTTTGTCTTCACAACGTCTAGACCGATTCTGTGTCTAACACAATATACAAACCAGCTGATAATGAAGTTATTCCCGGGGAGCTAAAGCAACCAGAACGTGAAGCTGCCTATTAACATCCATCTAAAGCCGAGGTTACGAATGAGTGGAGCTGTACCCAACTATCCAAACGTCTTCATGGTGTGATGCTTGATTAAGCATTGGGACAAATTTACTTTTACGGAGTTCGTTATAAAATTTAAGGTATTAGAGACCATCCCAGCCTCGTAAATTTGAATTTTCTACAATCAATAATAAGAATATTACAAGCTGCCTGATCTCACTTGTCCATAAGAAGTCTGACGGAGCTTGCTGGGATGGTGTAACCTGTGCAGGTGTCGTTGTTGCAGCGCCAGCTGGCGTCTCGGTCGAGAGGCCTCGTAGAGATAACGACGCCTGTGGTACATTGTGGACACTTCAGCGCCCCAGCGTACGTGCCCAACTCCGTCGCATCGGAACAACGGGCGCATGCGCAGTCGAAGAACTTGCTCTCCTTTAGGTGGTCGCGCCGCTTCATGGTGCCCTGCGCAAAGAGCATGCGCTTCGCCAGTGGTGAATATAATCACTGCACACAGATAACAGCATAGGGCAGCTGTTATGATTTTCTGTGCCAGTATCCTGCTTTACACTGCTCATCTTGTCAAAATGAACTTAGTACCGCTACATCAAAATCTGTTCTTTTAAAAAGAAATTTATTTCTACAATTACTACTACGTATAACATCAGCGAAGAATTCAACGGAAATTCTCATCATTTGTTATAAAAGCTTTTGTACTCTTAATTTACCATGCCTTCTCCAGTTTTTTTTTTTTTTTTTTTTTTTTTTTTTTTTTGCGAGTCCTACATTTTATCGATTGACGCGTGGAGGGCGATGTTAACGCCATCTTCAGCGAATAACAAATACTAATTTTAAGGCGTATTGCTTACACGCATGTATACACATATTATCAGATACAAAACGGACATGATACACTGAAAAAAGGTGGCTCTTGTCTTCGTGACCTACTACATTACTTACTGTCGTGTGTTTGCTAGGCAACGCCACAAGAAATTGTGTGGGTTCTCGGATATTAACGAATACCTTTATTGGAATGTCATTTTTACATTCACACAACTGTTCTCCACTTATAGCGTCCTTTAGACGTTTCTTCTCTAATGTTACATCACTTTTGCTCTAGTCGGATAAGAACTCTTTCCTGCTAAAGTCGAATACAAACTGGTCTCTGGCCGACGTTGGACTCTTATAACTTACCTTCGGACTGAATAGGGAAAACCTTGTTGAAGGGTCAATTCCGCCCGCTGTTACGCAATGAAAGCGGAAATACGTGTCTGCTTCAAACAATTCGTTTGTAATGGTGGAAACTCCACTGTTAGACTTTCATTTCCGGAGCAACGATTTCCTAGGCTTCGGTGCCTAGAAATTTCTAGCCGTTGTATAGCAATGGATGCGTTCTGATTCCAAATATTCCGGCCCTAGGCGGCACGTCACTTTACGTTCACGAAAATTGTTGCAGTGGTAAACTGATGTTGCGTAATTTTATATATCTCATCAGTATACAGTGGGGGGGGGGCACGCGGTAGCGTAATTTATTGAGACACTATGCTACAAGCCGGAAGATCGCCGGTTCGATTCCCGATAAGTTGGTTACTGGAATTTTGAATTGACCTAATCCTTCCGCCTTGTTATGATCCTGGGTTCGGCTCGTCTTTCGATAGAAATTAGTACCAGGAATTTTCCTGGGGGGTAAAGGGAAGCCGTCGCGTAAGGCTGACAGCCCTATGGACCTCTACAACCTGTTACAGGGAAAGCTTTACCCTTTACCATGTCACAATTACACCACTTTGCTATCTGTAACCACCTACCTGAAGAGTATAGGCGTAACTGAGGTATATAGATGTTCCCTTATGGATCTTCGTTGTGGCTCTTACCCGCAGCTGAAAATGTTGGTCGTCTGTGTGTGCTGTATTTGGGACGCAGTCGTGAGCCATGTAGAAAGCGCTGGGGTACAGCGCCCTGATGCTAAGATCATCCTGACCCACTTCGAAAGCATTCACCTGCAAACACAAACTCCATTATTATGTCAAAACGTGTCATGCCTAGCACACCATAGGACCGATCGAACCGACGTTTCAGGGGAACATGTCGCACAGCTCTGCTTACTGCAGGCTTCATGCTGGGTTCTTGCTTGACTTAATTCTTAAGTTATGAACATGGAAAAGGCATGTTCCTCTGACCCTTCGGTTGACTTTTAACGGACTACACGTCGGTATATCCCAGGAGATAGAATTCTTCATAACCGCCTCTGTGAGAGCCTCCAACGTATTTCCTGTGAGGTACGAACTGAATTCTCGTATATGATTTAGAAGTAATTCAGTCTTTAACCCCCTTGTGGAGGCCGGTTCGAACACCTCCACCGTAGCCCTGCGAGTCGAAGGGAACCCAGTGCCTGGGGGATATAAATACGTGGACCTGGCCCTCCGGGATGGGGGAGTCTCGAATCTGAGACAGTAAAATATGGTCATGAGTACGGAAGGACTTGGGTCCCAGGATGACTGTGCTAGCGAAGACCTGCATCAATTGTAAACGACAGAACAGTGCTCTCGTCATAGAGCGCACACCATGTCTACAAACCCGCAAATCTCTGACAGTAATAAAAATCTGGTCTTGGGCCCCAGATGGGGCTTGCCACCAAGAGAGACTGGCCGACTGACCATCGATCGTAACATAACTTTGGCTTTGACTTGACAGTCTTTAAGTTGTTAAACTATCGTGATGCGCGTCCCGTTCGGTTACGTTTCAAAGCAAGAAAGTGGGCGTCTTATCCGGTCAAATTATGCCAGTGTGTTAATAAATAAACCAGTTAGGCCACACCTCCAGAATACCGCATATGGTGTGGATGATGTCCTCCTCGTATTGCGTCATGCCCCATTCCTTCCTGATCCTGTCCACAACGTTCTCCTGGTTGTTCCTCCAGATGACAGGCAACTTCCGGCGTATGTCATTGTGGGCCTCCATCGATAGCAGAGTGCGCCAGCGGTCCGGGTCCGACTGCAGTAGGAGGCAGCGAAGAGGTACGACGGCAAGGTATAGAGGCGTCAGGGCGCTGGTGTCGGCGCCTAGAAGCTTGGGACGCACGCTCTGGTAGAGCCGGCACTCCGCCTCGCTGTGCCCGTATTCCGTACCCTTCCCCGGGCAGCCGAGGCAACACTGTGGCCACCCACAGCCCTCACACCTGGACAACATGGCGCCCTGTTCTTATGTCATAACACTTGTCAAACCAAACTAAGTACATTGATCGACTTGACTGAGTTGACCGGACAAAACGAAGTGACAGAAGTTACCAACCTGTATGCGTTCTCTTCGAGATCAAGTTTCTTATAGCAGCCAAGGCAAAGAGGTTGGCAGCCCTGTGGGGGTCCCACTACTAGAGGGTCCACAGTCATTATGAGTTCTCCAGGTCTCAAGTCACGTGATGCCACCAAATATCTGAAATATAAACACAAGAACAAATGTTTCTGCTGTAAGTGAGCTGTGTTAAATTACTCAGAAAGACGTCAGTGGTTTCTATAAGTGTTTCGAGTAATCAAGATACGCTGAGAAGGGAATATGGGAGATTGAAAAATGGTAAGATGGAAAGAAAGAAGAAGAGAAATACAGATAGATAGATAGATGGATAAACAAAGAAAGGAGGAAATAAAAGCAATGCATAAACGGGTAAGGGCTGCCCCGGGATTTATGTTTCAGCCAAACAACTGATCTGCGTCAAAGATCATATGTCACACCTAATATTCATCTTTGGCCTACACGCTTCGCTGCCTTTTCAGAGAAGTTACCGACCGCGCACGGCGAACACAAATTGATTTAGGAGCTTTTGTGCCGTCTATGTGCAATGTCGTTCCACAATGACGGCACAAAATCTCCACAGCACAACAGGATGCTGAAATATAACATTATGAACACAAATTGGTATTTTCACAGCAGTATGAACACCAGTATCTTCTGGGATGCAACGTTGTGTAGTATGGCAGCTCACAGAAGTTTTCAAGGAATATAGTTGCCATCTTCAGGACTGAAGAGTAAGCCAGCCAAGCAACCATCAGCAAATTGAACTAGCTCCTTGGTCTTGCTTGGCATATTCTTCGGCTTTTAGGATATAAACAAAATGTTCCCCCTGAAACGTCGGTGAACTTCTACAAATATACATGGTGTCATATGCCAGAAGATAGATCCTCTGTCACGTCACCTTTGCGAGAACTGCAAATCCAACGAATGGACAGTGTTGTGCCTCAGGTTAGTAATGAGTATGATTTTATTTAACGATGGGTCGATTTTATATTTAATTTATTAGAAATTTCTTATAGTAAAAAGTAAAGGTATCCCTGTAACAGGCCTTAGAGGCCCATAGGGTTGTGAGATGTTGAGGTTCCCACATTTCCTAGACAATCGGCTCATAGGTGGCAGTGAGGTTGTCAGCCCTACGCGCCGGCCGCCCTTTACCCCCAAGGATATTCCTGATACTTATTTCTATTAGGGGCTGAGTCGAACCCAGGGCCATAATGAGGGCTAGAAGGATTAGGTAAATTGAAAAAATCCAATGACCTCATCGGGATTCGATTCCGCGACCTTTTGGCTTGTAGCATAGTGCCTCAATCAACTACGCTCCCGCTTGCCCCCCAGAAATTTATTATAAGTCTTGTAAATTGAAACACGTTAGGTGAACCACAGGTTGGGCAGACGGAAACCAGGGTTGAGATCATCTTTGGATGTAGCACATTCCTCAGGCATCCGGCTTCTGTTGTATAGTTTATAGAAAATGCTGACAAACCGGGTGAAGGACACAGAGGCAAGTCTTACTCTCGCACGACAGGTTATCGGCCAGGAGGAATCTGCAGATTTTCGGTTTTTGAGTGAATAGAATGTTCATTATGTTGAATTTTTGTGGGTTCGGAGAGGAGAAACCGCTAGCACTCCGACTTCAGGAGTCGCTCGGAGCAGTCGTGTGGTAGGAAGGAGAAGCGATGGAGTTAGACGTCTTCATTTCCACCCTATTTTGTAAGCGTGAGTACTTGCCTGTGTTCGGTCTACTGATTATTTGTTAATATGTAGTTTCTGGTTGACTGATTAGATATTAATTTTGGTATTAGTGGACTGTTAGGATAAAATTTGGTCAATGACTTTAGAGTATAAAATTTGGGCAACGAATTACTAAAGTGTAAATTTTGTTCTTTTGATTGATTATTAGAATGTATAAAGAAATAACAATTTTATTTAGTAGTTACGTGTTAGGATATAATATTTGATTTACTAAAGGTTTTCGTTGCCGGTCACGGTAGCCGAGCGGTCTAAGGCATGCACTGTCTTCGCTCGCTCGGAAGCCGGGATCGTGGGTTCGAATCCCACTCAGCGCATGGATGTTTGTGTGCGTTTTTCTGTGTTTGTCTACAGGTAGAGGCCTTGCGACGAGCTGATCACTCGCCCAAGGAGTCCTACCGAATGTGCAAGATGTAGAAAACCGAAGTGAAACGGAGAGTTTCATGGAGGTAGGCCTAGGCCCAAATTGGGGCTGTAGAGCCACAGAAAAAAAATGTTTTCGTTAGAATATATAAGGATTGACTTATAAATCGATCGTTAGGATATAGGATTTGACTTACACTGGATAAGTTGGTTTATTGTTTGACTGCAGAAATATGAAATTTGGTTTGTACGGTGTAAGTTTAAAAAGAATTTGGTTAATGGATTTTAAAAGGTAATTGCAGTGAGTGTAATGGAATATTCTGTAAATTTAATGGTATTTAGAGTCAGTGAGCAGAGGAATATCCTACACGAAATAAGAAAACGGAAGGCTAATTGGATTGGTCATATCTTACGCGGTAACTGCCTTCTAAAAGAAGTTATTGAAGGAAAGATAGAGGGGCGGATAGAAGTGACAAGGAGACGAGGAAGAAGACGTAAGAAGATGCTGGATGACCTTGGGGACAGAAGAGGATATTCTCATTTGAAGGAGAAAGCTCTAGATCGCATCAAGTGGAGGAACTGTTTTGGAAGAGACTGTGGACCTGTCGTCTTGACAGATAACAGATGAATGAATGAATGAATATATGTACTTGTTGATTTGATTATATGTTTTTGTTTTCATATGTTGAGTGTTTATTGGGATATTCGTAATAATTATGTCACTGTGCGGAGTATGAGTTATCCACAGATGTTTAACTGGTGGCAATTAGGTGGAGTGTTCTAAATTCTGATGGTGGCCGTCAGGTTCCACAACAAAACTGGTGACAGCGGTGTGTCCCACCCCTGCATGCACAATAATAAACAGGCCGCAAAGGGATGGCACCATAACAGACGGGTTCCTCATTGCTCTGCGTAATATAACATCGACTAGTAACACACCATCTTGTGAGACTAAGATGAACTAAATACGCTCGCTGGTGGTGGGACGCAGTTCAGCCGTATCAACGGAGCACAGCACCAAGGTCCGTTTTTTTTAGGGCACGTGTGTCCCGCTGGGGCATACTCCCCAGTGACGAAAGGAGACTGCCAACGAGCAAGCGAGAGCTGTGAGAGAGAACAGCTGTTCCATTCAGCGACACGCGTAATACTGAGAAGAGAGAGAGGGCAGTGTTTTCGTGTGACTAAGACATATGAAGGAGTGGAGGTATAGCTCCACGTATTATAATGTCGGCACTAGACGGAGGTGAGTGGTTAGCCTCTCGCTCTGGTAGTGTTATCCCAGGGGAAAGATAGGGGACTAACCACTTCACCATGAAGATGTATGAGCGAATGGAGGTATAGCTCTACAATTCTTAACCTCGACATAGATTGGAGGTGGATTGCCAGCTCCTCGCTAAGGTTGTCTTACCCCAAGGGGTACAGTGTTAGAAACCGGACTGTAGGTTTCGAGGGCCCCAAATCTGGGTTTGACGCTGTGTCGAAGAGAAAAACCCCTGGCATTGCCGCATGGTAGGTTCCACTGCTAAATCTATGCAAGAGCGTCAGTATCCCTCCAGCGACAATAACTCTGAAGATGGCAGACAGGTGAAGGACTGACTGGAGAGAGGCGCTATCCAGTTGGAAGCGATCACATGACTGAGAAGAAGAGGCAATTGAAATATATTGCATGCATGATCATGAAAAAATTTGATATTTTTCGATCACGATGTAACGAGGTGAGGTGATGACAGATGATTTTGCCACCACGTGTAACTGACATGAGGCGATGACAGATGTTTTTGTGACCATGTTTTAATGAGAAGAGGTGATCAAATAGGTTTCTGCATTCACATGGTGACGGCGAAATGTGCTTTTCAGTCACTTGATTGGAAGAGTTTCAACAGTCTACAAAAAGGTAAAAAACGTTAAGTTATTCCTTTAACAACCGTGGAGGCCCATAGGGTTGTGAGACGTCGAGGCTCCCACATTTATTGGACAATCGGCTCAGAGATGGAGGGGAGGTTGTTAGCCTTACGCGTCTTCCGGCAGCCCTTTACCCCCCCCCCCCCTCCGGAATATTCCTGGTACTCATTTCTGTTAGAGGTTGAGCTGACCTCAGGGCCATAGTGTGGCTGGAAAGATTAGGTAAATTGAAAAATCCAATGACCTCATTAGAAATCGACCCCGCGACTTTCCGGCTAGTGATATAGTTCCTCAACCAACTACGCTATCTCGTGGCCCCTTCAACATTATACAAGTATACTTAATTCTCCTGAAGTTAGAAATCATTACATTATATTAAATTCTAATTATAGGAAGAGTATTTAATTAATGTTTAATTTAAAACACGATGGCTCAATATTCGTACGTTTCGCCCGTGTTTCAACCATTTCCGGCCGGGAGCGAAAGAATAACCGATCTGAGTCGTTTATAAATCATGCAGTGTGGGTTGCGGCAACTGCAAAAATATCTGTTTTTGGCACTAGTGCCCAACATTGGTAAATTCTGTGCTCACGGGTTCGAAACCTGCTGTGTGTCAGACATTGCCACACTCCTGGCACGTGTCCATGTTGTCAGTTTCCCGTTACTTGGACAGCGCTCGGAAACTTACTTTTAATAACAAAAGTTAACGAAACAGAGAATGGCGAGCTTGAATTTTGTTCAGATGAGCTCTCTTAGTAGCACGTTCTACTAAGTAGCGTACATATCAAATTGTTGTTCTGAAATCCATATGTAAAATATAATTCTTTTCCACCATTCATTTTTAATAAATACAGAAACATCTTAAATGTGGTTTTTAAAACTGGTTGGGAAAAACAACGCTAATTTTGACTTTTAATTACGAATTAGTATAAATATTATAAAAAATCAACATTATTAACAGCCTTACGCCTGTCTAGGTCAATGTGATTTTAACACCCTGGATTCTTATTGAGCAGGGGCAGCGTTACAGATTTATTGAACTGAAATTCTGTTAGATTACCATCTATCAGACGTACGTTCCGAATTTTCAGATTTACGACTATATACTCGCGTTTCGGACGTTAGACAGATTCTTCAGAAAGCCCAATCTCCCACTGCCTCCTCCGAAATCGATTGCCTCTCCAGATCTCCCATAAACAGAGTTCTCTCCTCTCTAAATTGGATGAGGAGTTGGGAATGTTGGAGTTTCATAAACTGTTAATTAATAACAAACAAAAAGCAAAACAAACTCCGTGGCTTGAATCCGTACGCGAACTATACCGACCGAGCGACCGTCATTTGTCGGCGAAGTTAGTGCCAACTTTTACGGATATAAGGTGTCACGTGATCAGGACAACGGATCCCCACGGACGTTAATCTCGGTTTTCTAGACCGGAGCCGCTATTTCCTTGAAATAGTTCCTCAATTATTCCCCTGAGGCTGAGTGGACCCCGTTTCAGACCCACTACTTCTCAAAAATATGGTAGTGCCGGGAACCGAACCCGAGACCTCTGGATCTGTAGCCAGGAACTCTGACCACTAGACCATAGAGGCGGTCAATCTTAATTAATTGTTCATAAAATCTGTAAATATTCTCATAGAGCGAAACGCAGCTCTTAGCGATGCATGGTAAGATATTAACTTATGTATTGTGAGTGTTTTTAATAGTTTGAATGTTGAATACTCTGGATGGAGCGATATGAACTGGATTTATCTGGCTCAGGATAGAGACCAGTGTAGGGCTCTTGTGAATACGGTAATGAACCTTCGGGTTCCATAAAATATTGGGATGTTCATGAGTAGCTGCACAACGGGCAGCTTCTCAAGAAGGGCTCAGTTCCATGGAGTTAGTTAGTTATTAGAGAGGGTGGGTTTCCCCCATGCACTTAGACCTGTAGTGGTCCACTGTGCTTCCCTCTATAATTTCTACCAGCCTCTATATCCTGCCGATATTGGTGCTTACCATCAGTCCCGCCCAGCCAGCGAGACCGGCTCTACTAGCTGAGAGGTATCTATAATGCTTCCCCCATCTACCAGAGGTATTAGAGACTGCTGTCGGGCGGCAAACGTCCGTAATTTGGCTCAGTGTCCTCCTTTGGAGATATGAGGTTCTTTTACATGCCGTAAAGCTATGACACGGGACCCACGGCTTAAGTCCCTCCCGGAGGACTTGTTCCCTGAAATTTTTCCGCCCTTAAAAAATTCGACGACCTCCGCGGGGTATTTGTACCCGCGTACTACGAGTCATGAGGTGGGAACGTTACCTCTAGACTACGGAGGCCGCTTCCATGGAGTTAGTGTGAGAACATCATGATTGAACAAACCTGCCCATTACATCAGACACTCTGATGACGTAAGGAAGGTTTTCGGTGTTTCCAAAGTCTTCTTCTTTGTCCTTTGGTACTTCCGGCACTTCTTGAGGCAGGATGTCATCCTTCACAACATTCACGTCACGGCACCTCTCCGAAGCGGAGCCCGCTGCATGTCTGTGTCTGCCCTTTCTACCCGATTTCTGGAAATTAAAATACACTGAAGCAGCGCTCCCAAAGAAATACGCGAGAACTTATGGTACTACTAGGCCGCGCCATAGCTCAAACGGTTAGTCGCTGGCTCCCCACCGCGGCGGCCCGGGTTCGATGTCGTGTCTGGTAAAGTGGGATTTGTGGTGGTCCAAGTAGCGCTGGGGCGGGATTCCTCCGAGTACTTCGGTTTCCCCTGCCAATCTTCATTGTACCAAATTCTCCATCATCATAATCACCGGAGGCAGGCTACAATAGGCCAATCAGTGGCCGCCGTGCCGAGTGGACCCAGTTGGACTCCACNCCCCCCCCACTAAGCAAATTTAAAGGAAAATATGGTACCACTACCATGGAAATAACACGTGTTTTAGAATTTAGATTGTTGTTAAAAATACATAATTTCAAATTGGATTGCAGTTTTGTAAACTTACTTACTTTTTCTTTCTTCCTAGCAAATAACTGTTATACCGGTATCGAGTACGGAAAGATGCGCAGTGCGCAGTGCGCAGTGCGCATACAGGTACGTTAAGAGAAACGTTGTTGGATTTGAGGTTCTTGCGTTGCTGAATATTATTAAAAAGAAGATTACAGCGAGTGGGTTTTTAAAATCAATTAGAACAGTGAAACAGTGCAGCAGTTTCGACACAATCTTAATTGAATATCTGTGAAAAAAACACCTGAAGATGGCCGTTTGAGGCCGAAACATGTACTGTTAGAGAGTGTATTGAAGTGTAAAATAAAAAGTAATGCAATTTAGACGGATTATAGACAAATGGACGCTAATTATTATGAGGAAATTATGCTCCTTTTTCAAACAGAAAGATATAGTGAATACGTCTATCGCCTCTCGTCTGTCATCCACGGATAGACACGGGCTCCATCAAATTCACCCCTCACTGTAGATTCATAGCTTTACCTAATAATATAATCAAAGCCATATTCTGAACGTTGCATTTCTTTTAACCAAAATGACGCCTATGAAACACGACGAATATTTGCATCAGTACAATAACTTACCTAACAGGACTACACTGTTAACGTTTCACTCTGGTATTCGGGAAGTGTTCTGGAACATCTCCCGGGGCACCTGCTACCTTCACCAAGGCTTTTTGTGATATTACTTAGTCCCTCTTGGCAAACGTCGAGTTAATACCTCGATTAAAACACGGCCATTTGCCTCCAAATCCTTTTCCAATTAATTATTCACATATTATCCTAACATTTCACCTTATACAGTGTGAGAGTCTAGCAGAATCGTAAACTATACCACAAGAAAACAGCGGTAAGACAACACAGCAAGCCACGAACAAACCCTGGACGACATCAAGAACCTCCTCATCAAGATAGACAGGCGGCACAAAATCTGCCCCATACAAGAATGACGATAGGAGTACGGACACGAACCTACGTGGTTTAAAAAATTTTAACTATTGACAATAAAGTTTTTTTTAAAGAACATCTAGAAACTTTTAAAAACTTTACAACACCAGGAAGCTGCTGTGATTGTGAAACGTTCGACTTTATGAGTACTGTGCATTATAGGATATAAGTGTATGTATTTTAAATAAAAACACCTATTGTGATGGTAGTTTCCAGTTTGTAATGATGTTCCCTCTGAAGATGGCCCGTGAGGACCGAAACATGTAAGGGAGATAAGTTTTAACGTAGTAAAAACTTTTATGTCACATTGGACGGAGTGGTTTGTATTTATACCGGTAAACACCTTTGATAAATGAGTAAAGTGTCGAAAAAGAATATTTATATATGTCCAGATTCCATTACGAACAAGATTACTATAATAAATCGAGTTTCCATTTATCAACATATCAAGCTTACCTTACTCTTCCTTGTTCCCGGCATGACAAGGTCCTGAAGGATACTCAGATGCCAGATCTGGACGTAAACTAAGCTACAGTCGCCTTTCTCACATCCACAAGATCCCCACCAAAGTATCTATCTGTCCAAACGGCTCTATCATTGCATCGGACTCTACAAAATTATACACGAGACACGCAGGCGCAGAGAGAGCGTCAAAGATTCACAGCTTGACCGACAGTCTTGCATCATGATTTCATCAGCAGTCAATTTTATTACAGGCAGAGACTGTACCGTAGCGTCGCGGGTTTAATAGATAGCCTCAGTCTTGCCTCCCCTCAACCTCCCCAACCACTACCCTCAATGTATTGCCATTACGGAATCTAAAATTAAGTTGGCCTCTCCTCACTCGTGTCCGTCCAAACTTTGTCACTAAGGGAATCGAGAAGAACTTTGATACAGTTTTGATTGTAGCAATTTGCTCTTACCTACATGTTCGTTAAACCCTGTACAATACGTGGGGTCTAATTTGATCCCTGTTTCAACAAACTGTTCAATTCTGGAGAGATGAATGTAACGCCCGTTGAGATTTAACGGGAAATCTCATTATTCGTATTAAATATCTACACATTCCAACTGCTTTCCCACGCAATTCTTTCCAAGTTCTGCATGCTATCGAATGATGCGTTGATGCCGACGTTTAACACCATCTACCACAAATAACACGCATAAATAGTCAATCGTGAATTTTCCCTTTTATGTAGTACACTACACGCCGAATATCTGAATAAGCAAATTATCACTTCTCGCAAAAGAGACACGATATATTCAAACAAAATTCGTGATCTAGTACAAAAGTTATGTCCACGTAACTATAATGGTTGATAATCCGTTGTGATTACGTAATCTCACGCTTACAGAACTGTTTTATATATTGTCATGTGTATGAGTGACTATAGACGGGGTTTGGATTGGTGACTCAATTTATTGACCATTTATACACTCACGACTCGTGACTACACTTCACAGATCGATACACAGATACTAGTGTTCTCAGTCTATTAACAGTCACTATTAGCCGTTTCCTAGCAAGGGATTTTTAACACAGGAACTATAAGAGTCTCACTGAATCACATATACAGTATTTGCTTCACGGTCGAACTTTCAAATGAACACCCCGTCCCGGGAGTTCTGCCAGTTACCTACATAATTCATAATTCTGGAAATTAATTCTGAATCAGAGCAGGAAATCGGGCCTAGTCCGTAAGTTTTGAAAACTTTAAAGAATTATGCAAGTGGGGACAAGTAGCACCCCAAGAAATGTACTCGTGATATTTGTCTACATTAACCTCCTGAAGTCCAGTGGTAACTATATGTACCACCTGTCTTAACGTCAAGAAAACTCCGTATTTTGCCCACACGATGTATGTTCCACGTTCGATGTGATTCCCAAAATAAACAGCGACTATTTCTGTTAACAGCAATAACCACTTCGTCTGAACGAGCATATTGGAGAGGCAGTGTGTTTCCTATGAGGCAGGAAATTAATCTTTAAATATTATTCAGAAGAATGTTCTCCGTGGTTTTACCTCGGTCCCAGCGCGAATTCTGCGTCGGTACACAGAATTCCATGTTGAACTACGTTCTTTGCATGTAGCTTTCAGAATATTGATATCAAAAGTTCGCAACTAACTCAGACATTCCAACGTTAATATTGTCACGATTTAGGAGTGTGACTATAGACGGGGTATTGTGAACGAATTTATTGACTACATGTACAGACCACTCGGATCTACAAGTAATTACAGCACTATCGCTAATCTCCACACTTTACTAATTACCACATCACCCTTTAAGCTTTATGCAGCTTGCTGTGTCTTCAATAGCCGTTCCCTGGCAACGGCTCCTAACAGTGGAGATTGCTCAGCTTCCTGCGATCTATTTCTCTTGTCACAGCCACCTACGCAGAACTCTTGTTAACTGTCAACAACTATAGCGCCATCTCTTCTCAGCCTTCCTTGCAGAGCTCAACTGAACTGCCAACCCTCAACTAACTGGATTGCTCTAGTTCTCTTCTTTATAAACACTTTGGACGGACCACATCGAAAACACCGTTCCAATGTTGCGAGCATGTTCGTTCCCGCGGGAAAGTGTTTACTGAGCCGTTGCTCAGAAACGACCATTTCTTTATTATTCCATTTCATAGCGACGGCTGTACTTGTTGTTTCTTTCGAGGTCTGTGCCTAGTAATGGCTCCGTACGCCACAGTATCAAAACTGAGATTGAAGGCAAAGAAGTCAATGGTGAAATTCTATCCTCTGCTCATGACAAAGTTCACCTCCTGAGCATTTACTTTCTTCACTTCCCAACGCTTTACCTTATCTCCAACGTACCTTTACCTGAAGGCTGGGAACCTTCAATGCAGGAAATTTTTTCTGTCACCTTCATTTATTAGACAATATCTCTCTTTCTCTCTGCTCCCCTCATGATATATTTTTTCTCTCTCTCTCTCTGTCTCTTCGAGCTTCAAATATTTAAACAATCACAATTCGGACACGCTGAATTCTCTTTGACACGTCAAGAAGGAAAAGTTGCAGAAGCGGAAATTTAAGCCTGTAAAACAATAGGACCCACAGCCCAGGACTGGATTATTCTGCCTCGGGATAGAGGCCAGTGGCTTGATTTTGTGAACATGTTAACGACTTCCGGATTTTCAAAAAGTCCTGGGGATTTCTAGAGTAACCGAGCAAGTATTATGTCCTCAGTAAGTACTCGGTTCTATGGAGTTAGTTCCTAGCTTAGTTCGAACATGTCAACACGAAGAAAGTTGTCTTCTGGGTTTAGGCACCGTGTATTCTTCGTTTTGGCCGACGTTTCGGAGGAACGTAGCGCCTCCATCTTCAGAGCAGTTGAATAGCTGCGGANACACGACTTTTAAGGCACAGAAAATCGAAAAGCAGAGTGGAATGAAAACTTAGTGCTCTAGCTTTGAAGACATTTTTATGTGGCGTGAATGCGGACAACAGAAAAAAGAAGGAAAAACAGAATTACAATTACTGAAATTAAATTTATGAGGACGACGAAACACATTTGGAGAATGTATATTGTGGAAAGTAGACCCGTTGTTGGGCAACGACCGCGAGGTAAGCAATTATAAAAGAGCCGTTGCTGAACATGTTCTTTCTGTTTCTATACGAAGTGCGTTAAAGCCTTTTCGCTNTTGGGGGGGGGGGGGGTGGATTCCAAGTGGGTCCACTCGGCGCGACTGCCACTGATTGGCCTATTGTACCTGCCCCGGTTGATTATGATGGAGAATTTGGTGGAATGAAGATTGGCAGGGGAAACCGAATTACTCGGAGAAAACTCCCCCCAGCGCCACTTTGCCCACCACAAATCCCATGCGACTAAACCCGTGATCGAACCAGGGCCGCCGCGGTGGGAAGCCAGCGACTAACCGCTTGAGCTATGGCGCGGACGTGTTAAAGCCTTAGTCAAGCGACACTTAAACATGGCAGAATATCCCATACAAATTTTCTTGATAAGGTCCGATGATGGAACAAACAAAATTGCTGATTCAAGCTTTGAAATTACATTTATATCGTAGCATGTAGACCCGTTACTAGGTAATATTCGTAAACATAAACAGAAAAGCGATCTTCTCTAAACGGTCCGTGCGATGGCTACGTGATGCAAAAATAGAATAACTGTTGGGAGATGTGTTTTCTATGCGGTCAGTGCCGAGGCTACGTACGGAGTGGGTAGAGTGGAGTGCTACTCCCGTGTGGAGGCGGGGTCGAATACCTCCACCGTGACCCTGCGAGTCGTAGGAGGCGACGAAAAGGGAAGTCTCAAATCTGAGACAGTAAAATATGGTCGCAAGTCCCAACGGACTCGGACCCGAGAAGGACTGCGCTGGCAAGGACCAGTAGCATATACAAAAGACAGACCCGTCCTCTCGTCAGAGAGGGCGCCCCACAGAAACAAGACCGTAACTGTCAAACGGTAATAATTAATATCTGGTCATGAGCCCCAGATGGGGCTCGACATCAAGATTTACTGACTGACTGACCGTCAGTCGCAATATGACTTTGACTTTGAGTAGTGATAGTAGTAAGCCCGTGTGGAGGCGGGTTCGAATACCTACACCGCGGTCCTGCGAGTCGTAGGAGGCGACGAATAGGGAATCCAGTGCCTGGAGATATAACTGGGCCACCCTGTTGTATAATGAATGAATGTATATGAGGTGGGCCTTCTCGGCCCTTGCACCGCGACCTACAGTGGTCTATTGTGCTTGGGCCACCCTGTGCCTGGGGTATATAAATATGGGAACCTGGTCCTGTAAGTTGGGGGAATCTCGAATCTGAGACAGTAAAATGTGGTAATGAGTCTCGAGGGATCGGACCCGAGAATGACTGCGCTGGAGAAAACAGCAGAAATTGTAAACGACAGACCCATCCCCTCATCAGAGAAAATGTTACATAAGGGTTACAAGGGTTCAGTTGAAAAAAAAATGCTGGTCGTGAGTCTCAAAGGGTTTGGCGCCAAGATGAACTGATGGGCGGTAAACCGGCAGTTGTAAAGTAACTGTGACTCGGACTCCAGCTCTAGCATTGCTTGTCCGATTGGAGTGGTGCTGAGTTGAGTTGAGGGTCGACAGCCGTAGGACAGTTGCCGACCGATAAGAAAGTGAGCACGAAAGCAGAGAAAATTGTTGGGATCCGTCATCAGGCAACGACTGAAGACACAGCAGACTCAGAAGATTAAGAACGTTCTCTAGTGAACTGCAGAGTGTGTGAATTAGCGTTAGTATTATAATTACTTGTAGTTACGATCTGTAAGTGTTCAATAAATCCAATTAAGAATCCATACCCCGCTTACAGCCAATCAAAAACGTGACAGTATTTGAAAGGTGCAACTACGATACTAGGATATTACAACTAGAAGGTTTATCATATTTTTTACAGTAGGAATCTTCGGTTCGTTATAGTGAGTATCACAAAATAATATAATGGCTTACTAGTCCATAATAACCGTGCTTCAAAAGTTCCAGACAGAATCGCGTTAACTCCACCCCGTCCTATCTCTCTAAAATATATTTTAATATTATCCACCTACCTACGTCTTGGTCTTTCTAGTAGTCTATTTTTCCTGGCTTTCCCACCAATATCCTACATATATTATTCACCATTCGTGCTACATATCCTGCCCATCTCATCCTCCTCGACTTGATCATTCTAATTATACTTGGCGAAGAGTGTAA